CTGCCGTAGTCTCTCTTCTTGTTTCTTTTCTCGTTCTTCTTGTTTCTTTTCTCTTTCTACTTGTTTCTTTTCTTTTTCCTCCAACAACTGCTGTAATCTCGCTTCTTGTCTCTTTTCTTTTTCCCTCCAACAACTGCTATAATCTCTTTTGTTTATTTTGCTGTTCGAACTGCCACTGTTGCAGGTTTTCTTGCAATTGCTGTTGTCTCTTCTTGTTTCTTTTCTCGTTCTTCTTGTTTCTTTTGCTGTTCTTTTATTGCTGCCATCAAATCTGCGAAGCTGTAGTTTGATTTGCCACCTCTCGTTTCCATCTTCTTTTTATTTTTATTTTCCGTCCCACTCTCTGACACCAATTTGTTACGTCTTTGTTCGTTTGTTAATTACTCGTAAAAATTATTTCCGAAGAACTTCAGCGATACAAGTTCTTTCTCAAATAAAACTAGTTTATTCTTTCTCAATTCAACTTTGCAATACACTTAATTTCCACAGTCACCTTAAGTTAAACACAAGCTATAATTTACAACGAACGATTCACGCACTTTACTTACTGCCGCGCTTGATTCAATTATCCATATATATCTTCAATCTCTCTGTCTGCTATCCAATTCCAATTAATTGTCTGGCGCACTTATATACAAGAATAGAGGGCGCCTAGCAAATACTGGATTATTCGTGATGTTCCCTGATCTTTCTAGAACTCATTACGTGTTACCAGCGTCACGTGACTTCCGCTATCTTAATAGTATTATTAAACTGAAATCCGGCTTTTGATGCGAATTTTTTTTAGAAAAACTATTGTAAATCCATTCACTAATCTTATAAAAGTATTAAAGTGAGAAGTTGTTTAAAAAACTATACATATTAACACTGAAGTGAACTTAGATGTGTTCATGTAAATAAAGGTGGCAAAAACAGTAAGAAATACAAGAGGTTGGGTAAGGATAAGTGAAAAGACAAAATTAGTGTAGTTTGAAACAATATATTCCTCAAAAATATTTAATATTAGTGTATTTTGAAATTTCACCGATTCTGCCCAGAGTAAGAGCGGGGAAGGTATCACAGAATAACAAGAAGATTGCCAGATACTGTATTGTGAAATAGATGCCTAAATTTCACTGCCTTTAGATTGAGTCTGGCTTAAAAATAAAGAGACTGGACATAGATTTATGCAAAATCAGAACCCAATACAGGTGTAAGTGTGTCCTTCACTAGAGGGAAAGAGAGAGATTATTATGGCTTACTTCCGGCTGTGATCTGTATTTTTATATTCATCTGAAGTGCATTGACATTTACTTTCTCTAGAGCAGAAATATACATTAGAATATCTATAATGATATTAATCTAAACTGAAATTTCTAGTAACTTCTTAGGTTATTTTGTATATTCTTATTGTAACTGAGAGAACCTGGCCTTACATGCACAATAAAACAAAGACTAGGCTATTCAGACCATGCACGTAACATACACGACAGAGTGTATATGTCTTGATTCAAGGGCAGGTTATGCCCTCGGGTATCACCTAACTTAGATAGAAGTAAATACAACTGTCAATTTGGGTACAACATACGAATAGCTACATCTATCTTCCTGTTCGTGTGGCACCCCAGTAAAATGACCTGGTTCTGTGCGCAACAAGGGTGAGAAGAACTTAGTTATTCCTTTGTCTGACTTTCTATATATATCTATATTGAGAGCTAAACATACTGTGTATGCACAAAAACTTTGAAGAATATTACTTATTAAGTAAAGAGATATAAGGCATATGGTATTCTTACATATTGTTACGACAGCGGAAGTCACGTGACGCTAGTAACACGTCATGAGCTTCTAGAAAATTCATGTCCCTTCGTGAAGCCTCGAGTGTTTACTAGATATGCGGTATTCTTGTATATAAGACCGCCAAGAAGTGACGGCAACAAAAGCAGTTGAATTGCAGACAGAGATAGAGACGGACAGTTGGGTCGAGCGCGTGTGAATTCGTTGTGAATTATAGTGTTTGTTTAAGTTATAGCGTGACCGTGGAAATTAAGTGAATTTCAAAGTTGTATTGAGAAAGAATAAACTAGTTTTATTTAAGAAAAGACTTGTGTCGCTAAAGTTTCATCGGAAAGAAATTATACGGGAAAATAACTAATGACCAGAGACGTAATAATATTGTTACGCCTCCAGTCGTTAGTTAATTTTCCGCAACTTCGTTCCGACGAAACTTTAGCGACACAAGTCCTTTCTTAAATAAAACTAGTTTATTCTTTCTCAATACAACTTTGAAATTCACTTAATTTCCACGGTCACGCTATAAGTT